TTACTGAAACTTTAATATATCAGATGACCTATTTATCCCAAGTTATCAGAAGATACTTGGAATCTCCAGAAGAAGACAGCTTGTAATAAACAGGGACTAAGTCAAACACCATTCAAATGATGGGGGCTGAAAAATAATTTTGAATATAACCCTGGGTAGAAATACTTAATGAGTTTTTATTGGATTTGGCTTCTTGCAAAAACAGGCAGGGGAAATTTTAGAAGTGCCCTGTACAACCCCAGCTGTTATTAATGTCAACAACAGCACAGCATTCAGTATTTCTGAAAATTCCCTATATTACAAGAGTTTCCCACAATACAAGAGTTTTTATAGATGAGCTTCTCAGTTCTAACTTGTTTATCAAGTTAGGAGTACACACAGAATCCAAAGGATACACAGGCTTCGGAAGTATATACATTGAACAGATCAAGGTAATACAAGAGAGAAAATATCACCTTCTGGAAATTTTATCCTTTATTTGCCAAGAGTAGTGACAATGTTTAGAATGGGATATTCCTACCAAACATATCTGACGACTATGGTTTAGGTAAGCAATACTATTTTAAGCACTAAGAACAGAAAATCAGATTTATACATGTTGCATTGTACATTTACTGGACCTAATTATACTTGCAATAGAAAAGCTGAGAAAATGGACATTCCAAGCATGACAAAGGCTGTATCTCTATTATTAAATCAAATGGACCTGGGAAAACTCTAGGCATTGAAGCCAGCTGGCATGGAAGAGACCTTGTTTAGTCCAGTAAAGACTCTTAGCCTCTACAATGTGACAGCTGGATACAAACTGTTCCCTGGGACTTTCCAGCTTCAAAACCATGCCAGGGAATTGTCTGGAAGGAATCTAGATGGCACATGCCAAAGTCATGCCAGAGGACATTCTAACAGTTTGCTAGTACAGATGATTGCGGTCCAGCACACGGGAAGACTCCTGGTCACCTCTTTGTGGTTTTCTAGAACAGGTGTAGCCTCAGAGGCCATCAGAATCCTAAGAGATTACCAGAGAAGATCTGGTACAGATCAATGTTAAAACTAAAGTTACAGATTGGAAGAAGCAACCACAGGACAGAGCAAAAGTAATTCCAGGTTCCAAACAAAGGTTTTGGTGAAGCCCATGCCATTTACAGAAGGTTAGATAGTAGCTACTGTACTTCTTTCAGATACATGGCATTACATTACAGTTAGCACAGTCACAAACTCGAAATCATACTACTGTAGCTCACTATGCTGAAGAAAATCAGAAGATTGTCCCTTCTACTACTGAAGACTACTGAAGACTATTTGCTTGTGGTGCCACTCTAACTGAATACAGCACACTCATATATTCCACGAAGTGTAACTCAACATGATGGCTTTGACTTATGAGATTCTAAATGCAACGAGTCTTAGGTTATTAAAAAACCACAAAACAACAACCAAACAAACCTTTATTTCATTACAGTTGTCATAGCAATTCAAAAGCACAACACATGTTTATGAGGGACACAATGTTTTTGAGGAAGAATCTCTCCAGAAATTCTTTCCAATTCGGTGTGATGCAACTAGAGTCCATACAGGAAAGCCTTCAAGAGTTACCTGTTCTGATTTCAAATAAAGGTTGAAACTTAGGAATTCAGAACTGAGATGAAGGGAAGGAAGGTATCACTAATTCTGAACAGAAAAAAAATTCTATTTTTCATTTATTTTCTAATTTAGTATAGGATATTATTTACCCTTTTTTTATAAAATGAAGCATATATACTAGATGGGAGAATATCTGTATATTTCAGAAAGAGCTCACATGTAAAGAAGAAAGCCTGAAACAATAGCTCTAAGGTGTAAACTATCAAATTAATCTCTGTGGATGCTACTTAACCTGCTGATTATGCTGTAGCATTAGCAATTAAGCTATCTAACAGTCTAGTGAAATACTCTTCTGGGAGAAAACAGACATTGATCTGACTTTTCTCTAGAAGAGGAGACATTTGGACTCAAGTCCTCAAAAGCCCAAGAGAGCTCTAATCAGTGTCACACTGCTTAAAAGCCCCGCTTCCCGTCACTGACCTAGAGTAGGTATACAGATCCAGAACAGTGTTCCCAGCTATTACCTTCAAGCAGAGACAGATGTTTCCCTACAAGATGATCTTAGACAGCTAGCTATTTTCAAGGACAAAATTTAGGCTATAGTCTTTTCTTTAGTATTTCCTACTGTCTAGCTAGACAGCTTCCCACACAAAATACTTCTGGGACTAGGACCTGGAGGACAACAAGTTGAGCATGAGCCAACTATGTGCCCTCGCAGCAGAGGGCCATAGATTTCTTGGACTGTATTACCAGCAGGCCTAGGCACTGGTGAGAGCCCACCACTGGTGAGGCACCAGTTGCAGGCTCCCCAGTAAAAGACAGACATGGACATACTGGAGTGAGTCCTGCAAAGGGGCTACAAAGATGATGAAGGGACTGGAGCCATCTGTTGTACAAGGAGAGATTGAGGGAGCGGAGACTCTTCAGCCTTGAGAAGAGAAAGCTCAGACGGGTTTTACCAATGTGTGTAAATACCTGACAAGGGGAGTAAAGAAGATGGAGCCAGACTCTTCTCAGTGGTGCTCAGCGAAAGGACAAAAGACAATAGGCACAAATTGAAACACAGGAAATTCTGTTTAAACCTAATAAAAAGCTTTTTCTTCTGTGCAGATTGCCCAGTGAGTTTGTGGACTTTCCATCCTTGGAGATATGGTCCTGGGCAAGCTGCTGTAGCTGGCTCTGCTCTGAGCAAGGGGGATTGGACTAGACAATCTCCCGAAGTGATTTCATGAAAGCTATTATCAAGTACACAGTCTTTAAAAATATTTTTCCCTTTATTTTACCTGTAACATTGAAATACCATTATAACTGTGCTAAAAAATGCTGATCTACTTGCAACAATGTATCAAAAACATATAAATTTTAAAATTATACAAATGGATTAGAAAAAAGTAATTCAGACTGTGAACTGTTTCTGCACTACTGTTTTAAAGAGCAATACAAAAAATGAACTGGGAGAAAGAGCTGCATTAATATCATGGTGTAACACTAGAGGCTGTGGTCCTAGGAGTGGAAGCACAACGTGAACAAAGCTGTTCTCTATAAACGCTGAATGCCATATCTATTACTATATTGGGTAAACTGTGCTTCAAAAAGTCAAAGTTATTTAGACAAATATTGAATTGGCCTCATTTTGACCATGTCCACAAACACTTCTTTATGAATACTGAATGTAATTGAGTGAATACTTGCTTTTAAGAAGGAGTTTTTTATAAGACTGTCTGCAAACTCAACCCTTAACAGAAAATGAAAAGGAGAAGAGAAAAGATACTATCCGAATATCCCATTTGGGTCTGAGTGCTTATCAGAGATATAAGCTCCTGGCCACAGGGAAGACAGGAGATACTTGACATTGATGTTTATACTCTATTGTCATTGAAGGCCTAAAAATGCCTTCTAAAAATCCTGAGCACCAAAACAGTGTCAAGAAACAAACACACACAATATATGCTTTCACTGATATCATTAGTAGTAATATATCGCATTCATACAGCAGTTTCAGACCTTATGGTGTGACCTGGTTTTGGCTGGGATAGAGTTATTTTTCTTCCTAGTAGCTGGTACAGTGCTGTGCTTTGGATTTAGTACGAGAATAATGTTGATAACACACCGATGTTTTAGTTGTTGCTAAGCAGTGCTTACACTAGCCAAGGACTTTTCAGCTTCCCATGCTCCACCGACTGAGAAGGCTGGAGGTGCACAAGAAGCTGGGAGGGGGCACAGCCAGGACAGCTGACCCCAACTGGCCCAAGGGACATTCCATACC